TAGAAGAAAGCAAAAAGAAACCTCGTGTACCACTCGTTCTTATTTGTGTAAAAGATTTCCTTCAGTTCACTATTATCAGGACCTTTTCGCATACGACTTCGTTCACTTTCCAACACCACTTCTTCTTTTAGTACAGATGAAACCTTAAATTAATTTATCTAAATTTACATCAACTTTCGAGCATGAGATCAGCCGATCAAACATTGACACATCTCACTTTCAACACAACGGTCGTTGAGTTTGAAGAGCTAGGGTAGCCATCGATGGCTCGAAAACAAGATATTGGGATTTTGTTATTACAAGTGACATTTTTTCACCTGTTTAAAGCGTCACAAGAATACTCACCAATTTCGACTGTTCTTTCCTTAACTGTCCCAGATCAATCGGTCGAGTGTGTTCGTATGGAAACTCTTCTTCAGGATGCCAACAAGCAATCGTACCGTTCTTACATACAACAGTGTGCGGTTTGCTGTAATTCCATCAATTCTGATCGCTTAATATATGAGAATTGCTATTGGATAAAATAATAACTACTTAGAAATGTTCGCAATGGAAAAAACTAAAACGTCAACACTTTTCAGGTGGTGTTTGAATATCATTCGGTTCAACGGAATTGATGAATTAAAGATGATTATTTCGAGTGTAAACTAACTTAAAATCGAGATCCTCTTCAACGGCTATAGCTTCGGATGATGAAGCAGACGCAGATTCGTGTATGACGGTGTTTGCAGTTGAACGTAACGAACGGACGATTCGATGGATAGGAGTGAATCGATAGAGACGACTGAGCATTTCACGGATCAGATTTCATATGACAACCCTCAACTTTTCATCAATCGCTGAAAGTCGAAAGTCACGAAGCAAAACGTCTTATTGTTAAATTTCTATAAAAAATAAAACGGTACGGCACAAACTGCACAATGGGCGTGTACTAAAGCAGCATGAAGATAGAGAGAGAACAACACGCGTCAACGGTTTTCACACATAAAACTTGGTTTGCAATATCTATGAGATTATGAGATTAAAAATTTCCGTTGTTTGATGATGCTTCAATCGCAGCAATTGTTCATCTCCTCTCTCCCTCCATCGCAAACGAGAATCAAAGCAACATGAAGGCAGAGAGATCAGAGTACTTGAGATATTCCAGAGCTTTGATAAATTGAGATTTCATAAATCATGTGCAGTCATAAATAAATCTGTTTATTTCATAAATCATAAATCACTTCATAAATCATCTGTTTATTTGAAAAATAAGTTGTAGTGTTATTGGATCATTTCTAATGAAACAATGAATTTGCATGCACATAACTTTAAAACTTACCGCGGTAAACGTAATGAACTTAACAGGGCATACTTTCCGTGTTTCTTAACTCGAAGTCTCAAGTAATAGTCGTATGTAAAGTATCAAATGGTAACGATCATATCAAATGGTTATTGAATGCGAAATTCGGTGATATCTGTATTCTACATCTATGATTAGCTGCATCTCCATTTCAGTTTAACTTGTCGATGGAGCTTCGAGCTTCAGTAAGTATAAGATTTTCTCGGTTATAACAAAACTTCGATCAGATTTTCAGCTCCTGTCAATTTTCTGTTTTTAATGAATCCGGGGTTCAGGCTTCCTTGAAATGTTTTCGCATCAACTATCTGATACCAGCACTATCCAACTGTTTCTAGATTTGCATGTTGTTTAACTGGTGATAGCAAAAGGCCGAGATCAAATTTAGGTTTAGGCTTAGGCTTAGGCTTATATCGGGAAGTCATGTACTCAATCTTGTTTAACAAAATCATCTGTTCATTTGAAAGATAAGTCAATACTGATATGAAACTCATCCTAAATCTAGATGTAATCCACTGTGATTACACCATCTCGTTCTCATCGCCTCTGTGGATTGACTGCCGAATTGCCGTTCCATTCGTAAAGGTTAAAAGACATTGAACATCCTCTCTGAATCCACGTTGATCTCAACTCAGGTAACCTTGGTGTATTGAGTTTGCTTTCAAACATGTACTCAACGTTGTATACGATTAATTTGCATGCACATAACTGTCTGCTTACATCGGGAAGGCATGTGCTCAACCCTGTATAACAGAACCATCTGTTTATTTGAACGACGACTTCCAAAACTTTTTGAAACAAGTGTATTTGATTATTTCAAAAAGT